ATTTACATCTCCATGTTCTGCTTCTCAGGAGAATCAAAGTACAAAATTCAATTCGAATATATACTTGGTTTGAAGCCAAAAATGTTATCCACCAGATCCTGATATATGGGATTATGAGCTTAATTTAATCTTGAATTGTCAACATGTAAACGCGTCTTAGTTATATGGGATTATAAAGACTTAATTTATGCATGGAATATTCAAGTAGTTCGACTGCCAAAGAAAATTTTCATCTTTTAACATCAAAATATAGACAAATAGAAATTCAATGAGATAATGCTCACTCTATATAGTCTAGTTGTTTTATACAAGTAATAGGGAGACAATTTCCACAAAAAGATAGTACTCAACCACCACTGGTGGCCTGATGCAAAAGAGTAAGAGAATCTAACATGGTTTCCCATGTTCGAGTCTCCTTATGATAAAAAGTAAGAGGAGATCTATATGATCTCTTCTGAGTTTGAGTCTCACGCTTGCTAATAGGAGTGGTCATTGGAGCTCTTACTTAGCGATAGTTACGTCCGAAGATTAGTTGAAATGCACACAAACTAGCTTGGACACCCTTGGTTGGTCATATATATATATATATAGAGAGAGAGAGAAAGAGAGTGACTCAATTTTGGTCATGTTTATTTGATTTGGACAATATTTCTTTCAAATACAAATTATGTTGGTGGAGGATTTCAGGATTCTTTGTGTGTAAATTGTTAAACTTAAACATGAATTTCCGGAAGGTTTTTTTTGTTATGGGTTTAATTAGGATATTCTTGAAATTATACGTAAGAGTATCTACTTTTTGTAAGATAAAATGAGTGGTGACATGTTTGAAAAGTAATTTTCTTTTCAATTATCAAATAAGCATTAAAGTCAATTTAATGTTCCTAACCATTTAACTATTCCAGTATTGGCTGCATATAATGCTCAAATCTTTTCATCCGTTGCAGTGGGCGGTGGCGGTTGTTCAACCCCTATCATTTATACTCATGTGAAACCCCTCTATGTTTGAGGTAACATAAACCACCCCTGTAATTTAAAAATCTGAAGAAAAAAAACCCCTTACTACTTTTAGGTTGTTTATAAGAGAAGTTGAAGCCGTAGGAGAAACCACTAACCAGGTATTGTATGTTAATATACACAAACGCATAAGGTGGTCAATGAGGAAGAGTGTATTGGCTATAGTCAAAACGAGATCAAATAAATATATCAATGGACGAAAAACGTGTTTAGTATTAAAACGCCAATATACTAGTTGCTTCATTGGCTACGCTTTAACAAATTGTCTCTTTCCACGGAAGCCATTCTAATAAATTTCAACCAGTTAATCTTCAATTTGCTCATCTTGAGGGCGGGGCCTCACGTTAAATTTCATGGTCACAGCCTAAGTTCTTGAATCTCTAATATTCAAAGTCCCATGTAAACAAAGATCAGTTCACACAATTGATTTCATCAGCCTGGTAAAGTTTTTCTGAGGCCATAGAATTGATTCAGACAATAACTTGAACTTCAATTCAAAGACAAATCTAATGAAATCTTCAAATATATCAAACTATTGTAAATTAAGCCATATGGAAACATTTTACCCACCCAATTCCTCTCCCCGCCGTCTGTTTCTTTCTTCTATGGGAAATCTAACAGAAATGTAATGATGATTTATTGGTGGTTGAATTGATTTTACCAAACACAGCCTCCAGGCCCTCCACTTTCTTTTGTCATTTTCTTGCCCCCGTCACTGATATCGTATGAGAACTCTGTGGGGTCAGACCAACCAATATATCAGAAACTTAAAGAATTCAACACATATAATATATAGTATTATAATGGAATTTAGTTATGTTAATTTAGCCGTACATCACTTTCTATCAAAAAATTCTAATATTTTGAAATTTCCTTCAACTGATCTCCTTTCTTCTTCAACTGCATTGTTTGATTGGCATCAACAGCTATACATAGCTTACACGCACGAGGAAAAGCGAGAGAGAGTCAGAGAGAAATGGCTGAAGAGACAACAACTTCACTTCAAAGAACACCAACATGGGCTGTGGCTACTGTTTGTTTCGTCTTGATAACACTTTCCTTCTTATCGACCATTACTTCATCTTTTAGCTCAGGTAACGACACTATTACTTACATATAGGCCGTTGCATGCAACGAAAATTATAAACATCATTAATGTAACGCTGAAGTTTATGGTTTTGTTTTTAGTATTTTAAGAGGAAGAAGAAGTCCCTTATTCAGCTCTTGAGAAGATCAAATCAGGTGAGAAATAATCAAGAAATGATGCTTTTTACTTAATGGTTTTTTTCATGTACAAGTGTGAACTATATAATAAGACTTTATGTTTGCATTTGATGCTCTTGGGTTTCATGTCATTGCTGCTGACTGTGAGTGAAAAGCTTATTGCAAATATTGTATCCCAACCAGCGTAGCTGAAACTTTTCTGCCTTGCGGAAGAACCGATTCAGATTACTTTGTGAAGAAGAACACAATGTCAGGAACAGGTAATCCCATATTCAGAAAATTAGAAAGAAATCCCATATAATCGATTCATGAACAATGGATTTTCCTTGATATTTAACATAATGTATGAAATGATCCTTCAAACAAGTATAAGATGTCCTGAAAATAAAATCATTAGCCAAGAATTACAGTCGAGAAATCTTAGAACGAGACTCACGGCAAACAAACGAAACTATATATGTGGTTCGATCAAAATGATACTTTAGCTTCATTATTAGAGAGTAAAGGACCTTTTGATATATGGGCTAGTTTGGCAGCAGGAAACTCGTTTAAAATGGTGACAATTGAGAACATTCTCATGATTTTAAAGCTTCAAATTTTGTTAAGTTCTTAGAGTAATTTGCAGGGTGAGGTTAAATATTTATGTATGAAAAGCTTCAAGTTTTACTTTAATGAACTCTAATGTTGGTTTTGGTGTCGATGCGATTCTTAAACAGGGAAAGGTGTCTTTGCTTTAAGGGAAGCTGTAAGGCAACTTCAGTATTTGATATTTGTTCTGGCCTTTTCCATTCTTCATCTTGTGTCCTCACATTCGGTCTTGGCATGGCCAAGGTATTCCTATTCCAATAAGGCAATAAATATTCATCCTTAATTTCTTCTCTCTTTTCTTGGTCGACAGTTTAATGAATATTCCACAATCTCAATATTTGAACTTTCCATATTTGCTTCTTGGGATTTTGATTAGGGACTGATTTACTTCAAGCTTTTGACTAACAATAATATGGAAAAATTAACCAAGTCTGAAAAGGCTCTTTTATAGTCGGTACCAGATTTTTTATAGGGATTCCAGTACATGTTAGTGGGAAAGTTTGACTTGAAGTTTGACAATTTTTGTTGTGAACCTTCCCAGATGAGGAGTTGGGATCTTGGGAGTCTGAAACAAGGACAATAGAATACAATTTACAAATGGTAAGTTAATATATTTTACGCTATTAATTTCATTTCATTTCTGATTCGATTGTTTATGGACCCTCTAATTTTATTAATCTAAAAAGAGTAAAACGACTTTCTCCCACCCAATAATGGTGTGTTTAGTTTACACTTCTACGCCTACATATTTTAAAAACAATTTTTACTTAAATTATATTCGTTTTCAATTCTAGTGTCGTTGCAACCTCAACCACCATCATTCTGTTCTTTGATCATCACTTATCAAAACTCATCAAACCCTACTTTCGCCATCCTGTAATCGTTAGAAATCGAGTGATGAGGGTTGTATAACTGTCTTTTCAAATCAAATTCTGATCAATCCTAACCACAAAAGACTCATCGTCTCTCCTCTTCAGAAGCCTTAACAACCTAGACGAGTTCGTTCTCTATTTATTGTTATAATAAAATTGAGAATAAAATAATATTTTAAAAGTTTATAGGTAGAAAATATCATTAAATATTATTTAGATGGGAAAAAATCGTTAACTCATCTAAAAAACGTAAAAAACTCTGTGCCCCTTTTTATATAACAACTCATGATCTGTTACCGTCTAACTTGTGTATAGAATAAAAAACAGAATCATGATTCTACTTATCCTCTTCACGTATAAGAACATATTTTACATTCTCAATCTCTAGCTTGTTGATTAAAAAAAATCGAGTTTCTTTAATCTGAAGACTTTGTTCTCCCACTGACCTAACTGTATATGTATGAAGATCCAAGAAGGTTCCGGCTGTTTCATCAAACATCATTGGGAAGCGACACCTTAAATTTTGGAGTGAAAACAGATTACTTCGTTGGCCGGTTAGTGCATTAATATTGAAAACTGGCTTCACCATCTGAAACCGTATAACTTATCTAGCTATTAATAATTTTGTCCGTTTCATTTCTTTTTTCAGGCATATTTTCTGAGACAATTTTATGAACCTGTATCCAGAACAGATTATTTAACCCCAGACATGGATTTATTATGGTATTACTCACTCTTTACTGATGAAGTATACCCTGCAATTTTAAGGATTAATTATTGATTTAAACTAATCTTCATGGTTTTCTCTTGTTCTGTAGGCTCATTTTGCAGGAAATAACTTTGACTTCCAAAAATACATAAAAAGAGCTTTAGAAAAGGACTTTGGAGTGGTCGTGGAATGAGGTATACATTTAGTACTGCTTATCCATATATTACATGGAAATATGAGTAGAAAATAATTCTTCATTGCAATCATTTGGCAGCTCCTGGATTGGATATTCTCCGTTCTTTTCATCTTCTTCAACGCATATAGTAAGACTGAAACCCCCACTTAAATTTTATTTGTAAATGAACCTCATTTTAATTAAAAGCTTGATTTGATATCCTCCCATCTCAACTACATTTACCACTCTAAACTGGCCTCTAAAAAATGCACCCATGAAACTCTTCCTTTTCTTCTTCTTCTTCTTTTTCTTCTGAACAGCTCTGGTTGCTTCTTAAAATGGTGGGTTTAATCGATCTCAATACTACGGAGGACGAAGACACTCCTTCCTCTGCGTCTTTGTCTCCGTCTCCCTCTTCTTCATCTGCTTCCGCTTTAAGTGCTTCTACTTTAAGCGCTTCTGGAGTGTCGTTGGAGCTGTGGCACGCCTGTGCTGGCCCCCTCATATCTCTCCCGAAGAGAGGGAGTGTGGTGGTGTACTTTCCTCAGGGTCACTTTGAACATGTCTCAGATTATTCCGCCGCATCTTCCGCTCCTTTTGATCTTCCTCCTCACGTGTTTTGTCGCGTTGCTGATGTCAAACTCCATGTAAGCTTACAATTAAACACGCCAAAATTTTGTTTTCTTTTTTCTTTGTCACATATTTGTGGATAATTGAAGCTAAGTGTGGAAAGAAAATATGCTGGAGTTGTTGTGTGTTGTTACTAATTAAGTGTTGGTTAGTAGTATAAAGGTTCGATATTTTTATCTGTTTTAGGTGGAAGTTATGGTTTTTCTCTTAAATTTGTGTTCTTTGTGGCAGGCGGAGGCTGCAAGTGATGAGGTTTACGCGCAGGTCTCTCTGGTTCCTGAAACCGAGGTGAGTTCTGTTCTGATTTTAGATTTTAAATCTACAAATTTTTTTCTTTGGTCACAGAGGCTAGAGCTTCATCATTTATCTTGTAAAATTGACTGGCTAAGTTGGTTTAGTTTTCAGAAACGAAATGGGTAGTTATTGATTGGAAATTTGTGAGTGTGTGTGTGTTTTTTTTTTTTTGTGGAATTTGATATGCCACGGTGTTATGATTTTTGGTGGTGGTTTGGCTTTAAGTTCTTAAGATGAGTTGATTGTGCCTGAATTTTTGTATTTTGTGTAGCAAACTGAGAAGAAGTTGCTAGAAGGGAAAATTGAGGGGCATGGGGAGGAGGATGTTGAGGTGGCTGCGAAGTCTTCGACACCCCACATGTTTTGCAAGACCCTTACTGCTTCTGATACTAGCACTCATGGAGGCTTTTCTGTACCTCGTCGGGCTGCAGAGGACTGCTTCCCTCCCCTGGTAATTGTAGTGCATTTTCCTCCCCAAATGCTCTTTGGCCTTAAAACAGTTAAAAATGAATCATGTGTTTAATGCCTACATCAGATACTGCTTTGAAAATTATGTCTTGATAAAGTAGTTTGTTACTATAGGATTATAGTCAACAGAGGCCTTCACAAGAGCTTGTAGCGAAGGATCTTCATGGCCTGGAATGGAGATTTCGACACATTTACAGGGGTATGCTGAAAGGGTTAGATTGATTTTTTGTAACAGTTATGTTCAATGCCTTTATTACATCATAAAAACTATTGATATTACGGGTTCAAATTTTCTGTGGATCGAGCAGGACAACCGCGGAGGCACTTGCTGACTACTGGATGGAGTGCATTTGTTAATAAGAAGAAGCTTGTCTCTGGAGATGCGGTGCTTTTCCTGAGGTATGAAGAACTTACACCATTGAAATACTAGCTTTTTGATTCTGTATTCTTATATTTTAACTTTCGCAGAGGTGAAGATGGTGAATTGAGGTTGGGAATACGAAGGGCATCTCAAGTAAAAAGTGGTGCTGCTTTTCCATCTTCGTGCAGCCAGCAGTTGAGTCACAGCACTATCACGGATGTGGTTAGTGCTATATCAATGAGACGTTCTTTCAGCGTTTACTACAATCCAAGGTATTTTGCTGCTTCCCTTGTCTAGTACTTTTATGAAACAATCTGAGAGTATGTTAATATGTGAATCCATTTATTGGGCTTATATGTGCATACCTACACTAAGCTGCCCCTTTTGGAATGCTGTAAAACTATTGTTTACATAAATTATAAAGCTTTTTGGATCGGTTTTGCTTTCTTATATTTTCTTGCATCAAGTGTACATCACTGAACTCTAGAAAGATTATAATTTTTTTTTATAATAAAATTTAAGACATTCTAAAAAAGCTAAATCTTGGAGAAAACAGTAATCTGACACATTCAAACTATCTACACAATCTACCAAAGTTAGTAATTAAGAAAAATCGTATTATGTATGTGCAAACAATATATTGTACCTTTATAATACTATGCCCTTACTTGTGTCATGAGTCCCATATAACCAGCATTGTCAAATGTATTCTCTTAATGCCTAAGGAAATAAAGGTCTGATTTTGTTGTACCCTTTGTTACCATTTTTCTTTTATCAATTATCATTCTCATCTTGTACCACCATCATCAAATGACTATTGTATGACCAACATTTTTCTTCCTATAGTTATTAGTTAGTAAATTTATTTTTTATAATTCATAGAGATTAATTTTGTTGATTCTTTCCTATTGATATCTTAATGAATCATCCTATCCTGATGCATGTTGTAGGGGTAGTGCATCAGAGTTCATAATCCCTGTCCATAAATTCTTGAAGAGCCTTGATCATCATTTTTCTGTTGGAATGAGATTCAAAATGCGTTTTGAAACGGAAGATTCTGCAGAGCGAAGGTTTGGCATGTTTTGGCTTGCAAGGAGTTCAATTAACTTGGCAATATTAAATTCTTATGTGAAGTCTTTATGGCAGATGCACTGGACTAATTACTGGAATCAGTGATGTAGATCCTCTTAGATGGCCTGGTTCAAAATGGAGATGCCTATTGGTAAGACTTTGTTGATATTTCAAGTACATGTGCGTACAAGTTTTGGGTTAAAAAATGCCCTATATTAGTTTTTGTGTTCTGCTTGATAGACATGGGTGTGATATGTCTTATTCATTTGTTTTAGTTTACCATCCTGCTCATGTTGCCCTGCTAATTTTCTAAGGTTAGGTTTTCATGTTCTCTTCTGATGTTGACTATTGTAGTGTATCTTTGTTACCCAATAGGGGTCTATGCAATAATCACACTTTGTGCTTCAATGAAAAATTGGGTTTCTACGAAAAGACACTTATGAAATTGGCAACTGATTAGTTTGGTTTTATGTTTTGTTACTTTTGTATAATTTACTTCTTTTTTTCTTTTTCAAATTTTCATGTTCTTATCTTTTAAATGTTCAGAACCCAATGTACTTCCAATTACGAAGTAAACATTGAAAGTGCAATTGTTTTAGCCCTGATGTATATGACGTAATTTGTGCAGTGTTGGTTCAATGCACGATAAATCGCTGAAATTACATAGCATTAATATGTAATCTCAGTTGTCAAAAGAGCATTGATCCTACAGTTTGGAAGTGTCACGTGTGTAAAAAGTGAGGTGGTGTTGATTTTGGTGAGTCTTGTGGCTGGTAATTTGTGGATATGGTGTGCCACATCTTGCTTATCTTTTCTTTAGCTATATCTAATTTATTTCATGTAGGTCATGTAGAGGTAGTTTCCTTCTTCTCACTTATTATGTATGCCATGCAAGATGTTATTTGGTATATTACAAAAACCTTGGGTCTATCTTTTCTAGTGGAAAGATCAAGTTGCAAAGTCTTAAAAGGATGATTGAATGGTATGCTTTGCAGTCATGATTATTTTCTGTATCACTCAACAGGACATCTATTGCATTCTTGAATAACCAATTGATAATTACTTCAATAGTCACAGATGTCATGTTTAACATTTAGCTAGGCATCCTGTCCAGAGTCATTGTCAATCACACTTCATTTCTATGATCACTTATGGCCTTGATTATGTGTTTGGATTGATTGATGGATGTTTGTCTAAAATTTGACTTTGTCTTACTGGTGGGTTCTTCATGTTTGTTTTGCATACCTTTGGTTTCTCTTTGCCTTGCTTTCTCTGCTTTCAGCATCTTGTGGATTCTGACTTTTAATATATGATTATTCAAATACTACTAGGTTTTGTAATGTTCACTGTGTCTGTTTTATTTTGCAGGTTAGGTGGGATGATAGTGAGGCTAACGGGCACACAAGGGTTTCTCCTTGGGAAATTGAGCAATCTGGTTCTGCTGCTAATTCCAATAGCTTGATCACACCTGGTTTGAAGAGAACCAGGATGGGATTGCCTTCAGGGAAACCAGATTTTCCAGTTCCTGGTAGGTCCTTTGTTGACAAAAAATATTTCACTCCAACCAGTTGCACTTCTCCTGCCCCTGCAACATTGTTTGACTAATTATTGCATTATTCTAACAGATGGAATTGGAGTACCAGACTTTGGGGAATCTTTGAGGTTCCAGAAGGTCTTGCAAGGTCAAGAAATTTTTGGTTTTAATGGTCTTTATGATGGTGTTGATATTCAGAATCTGCAGCCATCTGAAATCAGGAGGTGCCGTCCTGGTTCAAATGGACCTGGGATTGCTGCTACAGGAGATGGTATCAGCAACCTTCATGTAAATTCTGATATTTCCTACAAAGGCTTGGGCTTTGGTGAATCTTTTGGATTCCGTAAGGTCTTGCAAGGTCAAGAAATTATTCCCCAGTCTCCATATGGAAGAGCACCTACTGTTAATGAGGCTCATGGTAATGGCTGTGTTGGAATCAGGAATGGTGGTCAGATGCTAGGTTCAAGAAATGGATGGTCTTCTGCAATTCAGGGTTATAGTACTCATATGAGCCCCCCTGCACCTTCTGTACAAGTCTCATCACCATCTTCAGTGTTGATGTTCCAGCTGGTAAATAATCCGGTTCCAAACTATAATCCTCCTCTTCATAGCTTGAATGATCAGAAGGGGCCACGAATTGGCAATCACAGTGTTTTTCATAGTTCTGAAACATATGGGCAAAAGCAAACATCATCTTCACCTTATGAGCATAGTTTCAGGGGGGATGATCCAGGAGGCTTGAATTCTTTAGGCCAGTCAAATGAGCATATTCAACTTGGGATGTCACGTCCTCTTGCCCCTCAAACAGCATGTAGGGGAGGTCAAGATATAGTTTCCTCATGTAAAAGTAGCTGCAGACTCTTTGGCTTTTGTCTGACCGAGGAAAGACATGTTGCTACTGTTGAGGACAACACAGCTCCAGCTACATCTCAGTTGAATCCCAGAGCTTCACTTCTTCCTCATGTTGGAGAGCATTTCCATCCAAAGCCTCCAATGATGACCAAGGCAGTTGGAAACAACTGTACCAATGTAAGCAACCTCTATGCTTGTACGAGATCCGCTTTTTGATATTGCGTAATGTACTTCAGTTGTAGGATAGAAACTGCAGGTTCACAAAAAGGGGAGTGTTGTGGACAATGACTCTTAATTTCTGCATGCTTGATGTGCATAGTGGTGTGATGGGTCGTTAATGCTTGTGCGCAATACAAAAGGGCTTTTCTAGATGTGGAGAAAATAAATGATGGAAGTCATTTGCGAGGATGGTGATGATAGAATATAGCTTGTTGGAGATGATTGGTTGCAGTCAGAGCTAAACAGCATTTTGATTAGGAATGCTTCTGTTTCTGAATTTATTTGTTGCAAGACCTGCTAACCCGTAAGCTGACTTAAAGCTAGTTAGTGCCACGAGTTTGGAGGGGTTTGGCAAATACCATCTCATTTACTTCTGGTTTTCATGGTCTAATTTAGGATTAGAGTGTTCATTGATTCACTAATTATGATGGGATGATTCTGTATTGTCAAAATTTTTGGTAGAATAAATACTTTTAGCCTCATGGTCTTCTTGAAAATGGGTTTACTGTACCTGAGATTGAATTCCTTGTAGTTGTAATCTCATTGAAGTTGTTAATTTCTTTTTCAGGGAATCATCCAGTGTGTTGGAAATTATGATATATACTAATGAAGATGCCAGTAGTAAGCACCTGAGTTTGCAGAAGAAAAATGTGCCTCAAGTTGCTCTAATTATACGTGTGCTGTAACTGATACAATTTAGCTTGAGAGAAAAAAAAAAAAAAAAAAATTGTAATTATTCTTCTGAAGTAACTTGTTGATGCTTAACTTCTTTGGGTATAACAATTTGTATTAACCTTGTAAAAGTTCCTAGTGATTCCCGGATTTGAATACCAGTACTGTAATCAAACTTAAAAGGGTATTGCATAGATGCTTTTGTGATACCCTTTATGAAATTCCGAAGGTATTGTTTGTTTTATTCTTCTTAAATTCTAAGTTATATTCAGAATACAAACACTATCAAACAACGATCCCTTTTAACGATTGAAAAGTCGAGCTAATGAATGGCGAAATAAATGTGCCTCTGGATTATGAAGCCCGGCTGGAAACAGTCTAGAGTAATACAAAACTTTGTTTTAAAACCCAGACCAGTCGGTCGGATCGGGACCCAGCAGCCTTTTCGGTCCGGTTTAGGTTTTAGGGGGGGCTATATTTTACATTTGCAGGGATTCATTGGCAATTTTTCAAGGGTGTTTTTGAAATATTTTACATTTGTTTTAAGACCTGGATTGGCCAGTTAGACCGAGACTTGGCAGCCTTTTTGGTCCGATTCAGGTTTTAGGCTCTGTTTTAAAAACCAGACCGGACCGACCGGTCCAACTGGTTGCTAGCTACTGATTCGCCCTCCCCATCATCCAATCTACCCTCCCTAGTGTGTCACTGCTGCTGTCCCAATCGATCGTCGATTTGCATTTGGCCAGGGTTGTGTTTGCTAGATTTCAAACCTATAGGGTCTTATGGTATTTATCAAGGGTGTTTTTGTTAGATTTTAAACCTGTCAAACCATTGGTTCAACCGACGGTCCAACTGGTTGGACCGGTTGAACCGTGACCCGGCCATCAGAGCGGGTTGCCCTCCTGTCCGGTTTTTAAAACAATGGTTTTAGGGGGGGTTTGCTATATTTCACATTTATAGGGGTTAATTGGTAATTTTCTAGGGGTGTCTTCAAAATATTTCATAAATTTAGAGACTCATTTGTAATTTATTTGGCAATTTTCAAAATAAATTAAAATTTCGGATTCTAATTAAAACCGACCGGTCCAATTGGTTGGACCAGTCGACCCGTGACTCGGTCACTTTGTTGGGTCTCACAGTGGGCCAGATTTTAAAACAATTATGAAATCAAATAAGTAAACACACACAAATATCAAACTAGTAAAGAGAAAGAGAAAGACATGTTATTTACTCTGGTTCACCCAATTAACAAGTTATGTTCAGCACAGTCAATATATTAAAATATTGTCTCACCTCACCCCCGAATGTGTTCGCATGATCCCTTATTGTTGAAGTGGTAGACAACTCCAGCACGGCTTTATGAATCGTAATATTTAGGTATGAACAGGGAGAGCATTGATTGATGTAAAGGATGCCGTGTTGTGGTGTTTTTAACTTTTAAGAAGAAATGAATGGCATATGGTTATGAACGTATTATATGTTTTCAAAATTTGTAAAATGGTCCTCCTCTTAGAATAGGGTGAGGTCCACAAGGCCCAGTCTTGTTGCTTGCCTCGATACATCACTCTGCTTCATATTTTCAACGACAAAATTCACTTAACGTCGCCCCCCATTACATTTACATCTCCATGTTGACTGCTTCTCAGGAGAATCAAAGTACAAAATTCAATTCCAAATATATACTTGGTTTGAAGCCAAAAATGTTATCCACCAGATCCTGATATATGGGATTATGAAGACTTAATTTAATCTTGAATTGTCAACATGTAAACGCGTCTTAGTTATATGGGATTATAAAGACTTAATTTATGCATGGAATATTCAAGTAGTTCGACTGCCAAAGACAAATTTTCATCTTTTAACATCAAAATATATGAACAAATAGAAATTCAATGAGATAATGCTCCACTCTATATAGTCTAGTTGTTTTAATACAAGTAATAGGGAGAACAATTTCGCACAAAAATATAGTACTCAACCACCACTGGTGGCCTGATAGTAAAAGAGTAAGAGAAGATCTAACATGGTTTCCCATGTTCAAGTCTCCTTGATGATAAAAGAGTAAGAGGAGGATCTAATATGATATCTTTTGAGTTTGAGTCTCTACGCTTGCTAATAGGGGTGGTCACTGAAGCTCTTACTTAGTCGATAGTTTAACGTCCCGAAAGATTAGTTGAAATACACGCAAGCTAGCTTGGACACCCTTGGTTGGTCATATATATATATATATAGAGAGAGAGAGAGAGAGAGAGTGTACTCAATTTTGGTCATGTTTATTTGATTTGGACAATATTTCTTTCAAATACAAATTATGTTGGTGGAGGATTTCAGGATTCTTTGTGTGTAAATTGTTAAACTTAAACATGAAATTTCCGGAAGGTTTTTTTTTGTTATGGGTTTAATTAGGATATATTCTTGAAATTATACGTAAGAGTATCTACTTTTTGTAAGATAAAATGAGTGGTGACATGTTTGAAAAGTAATTTTCTTTTCAATTATCAAATAAACATTAAAGTCAATTTAATGTTCCTAACCATTTAACTATTCCAGTATTTGGCTGCATATAATGCTCAAATCTTTTCATCCGTTGCAGTGGGCGGTGGCGGTTGTTTCAACCCCTATCAATTTATTAAGCTCATGTGAAACCCCTCTATGTTTGAGGTAACATTAAACCACCCCTGTAATTTTAAAAATCTGAAAAAAAACACCCTTACTACTTTTAGGTTGTTATATAAGAGAAGTTGAAGCCGTAGGAGAAACCACTAACCAGGTATTGTATGTTAATATACACAAACGCATAAGGTGGTCAATGAGGAAGAGTGTATTGGCTATAGTCAAAACGAGATCAAATAAATATATCAATGGACGAAAAACGTGTTTAGTATTAAAACGCCAATATACTAGTTGCTTCATTGGCTACGCTTTAACAAATTGTCTCTTTCCCACGGAAGCCATTCTAATAAATTTCAACCAGTTAATCTTCAATTTGCTCATCTTGAGGGCGGGGCCTCACGTTAAATTTCATGGTCACAGCCTAAGTTCTTGAATCTCAATAATTCAAAGTCCCATGTAAACAAAGATCAGTTCACACAATTGATTTCATCAGCCTGGTAAAGTTTTTCTGAGGCCATAGAATTTGATTCAGACAATAACTTGAACTTCAATTCAAAGACAAATCTAATGAAATCTTCAAATATATGTAAATTAAGCCATATGGAAACATTTTACCCACCCAAATTCCTCTCCCCGCCGTCTGTTTCTTTCTTCTATGGGAAATCTAACAGAAATGTAACAGATGATGATTTTATTGGTGGTTGAATTGATTTTACCAAACACAGCCTCCAGGCCCTCCACTTTCTTTTGTCATTTTTCTTGCCCCCGTCACTGATATCGTATGAGAACTCTGTGGGGTCAGACCAACCAATATATCAGAAACTTAAAGAATTCAACACATAAATATATTAGTATTATAATGGAATTTAGTTATGTTAATTTAGCCGTACATCACTTTCTATCAAAAAATTCTAATATTTTGAAATTTCCTTCAACTGATCTCCTTTCTTCTTCAACTGCATTGTTTAGATTGGCATCAACAGCTATACATAGCTTACACGCAGACGAGGAAAAGCGAGAGAGAGTCAGAGAGAAATGGCTGAAGAGACAACAACTTCACTTCAAAGAACACCAACATGGGCTGTGGCTACTGTTTGTTTCGTCTTGATAACACTTTCCATTCTTATCGACCATTTACTTCATCTTTTAGCTCAGGTAACGACACTATTACTTTACCATATAGGCCGTTGCATGCAACGAAAAATTAATAAACATCATGTAACGGTAACGCTGAAGTTTTATGGTTTTGTTTTTAGTATTTTAATAAGAGGAAGAAGAAGTCCCTTATTCAAGCTCTTGAGAAGATCAAATCAGGTGAGAAAGTAATCAAGAAATGATGCTTTTTTACTTGATGGTTTTTTTTCATGTATAAGTGTGAACTATATATATAAGAGTTTATGTTTGCAGACTTGATGCTCTTGGGTTTCATGTCATTGCTGCTGACTGTGAGTGAAAAGCTTATTGCAAATATTTGTATCCCAACCAGCGTAGCTGAAACTTTTCTGCCTTGCGGAAGAACCGATTCAGATTACTTTAGTGAAGAAGAACTCAAATGTCAGGAACAGGTAATCCCATATTTCAGAAAATTAGAAAGAAATCCCATATATACGATTCATGAACAATGGATTTTCCTTGATATTTAACATAATGTATGAAATGATCCTTGAACAAGTATAAGATGTCCTGAAAATAAAATCATTAGCCAAGAATTACAGTCGAGAAATCTTAGAACGAGACATCACAGCAAACAAACGAAACTATATATGTGGTTCGGTCAAAATGATACTTTAGCTTCATTATTAGAGAGTAAAGGAGCCTTTTGATATATGGGCTAGTTTGGACAGCAGGAAACTCGTTTAAAATGGTGACAATTGAGAACATTCTCATAGATTTTAAAGCTTCAAATTTTGTTAAGTTCTTAGAGTAATGTTGCAAGGGTGAGGTTAAATATTTATGTAATGTGTTTATGTATTGAAAAGCTTCAAGTTTTAACTTTAATGAACTCTAATGTTGGTTTTGGTGTGGGTGCGATTCTTAAACAGGGAAAGGTGTCTTTGCTTTCAAGGGAAGCTGTAAGGCAACTTCAGTATTTGATATTTGTTCTGGCCTTTTTCCATTCTTCATCTTGTGTCCTCACATTCGGTCTTGGCATGGCCAAGGTATTCCTATTCCAATAAGGCAATAAATATTCATCCTTAATTTCTTCTCTCTTTTTCTTGGTCGACAGTTTAATGAATATTCCACAATCTCAATATTTGAACTTTCCATATTTTGCTTCTTGGGATTTTGATTAGGGACTGATTTACTTCAAGCTTTTGACTAACAATAATATGGACAAATTAACCAAGTCTGAAAAGGCTCTATTATATAGTCGGTACCAGATTTTTTATAGGGATTCCAGTACATGTTAGTGGGAAAGTTTGACTTGAAGTTTGACAATTTTTTGTTGTGAACCTTCCCAGATGAGGAGTTGGGAATCTTGGGAGGCTGAAACAAGGACAATAGAATATCAATTTACAAATGGTAAGTTAATATATTTTACGCTATTAATTTCATTTCATTTCTGATTCAATTGTTTATGGACCCTCTAATATTTTATTAATCTAAAAAGGAGTAAAACGACTTTCTCCCACC